GACAGAAAACTGGTGCCAATCATCTAGGCTTCCAAACAGAAAACTGGTGCCAATCCTATAGGCTTCCAGACAGAAAACTGGTGCCAATCCTGCAGGCTTCCAGACAGAAAACTGGCACCAATCCTGCAGGTTTCCAAACAGAAAACTGGCACCCATCCTGTAGGCATCTAAACAGAAAACTGCTCCCGAGTTCCAACAAGAAAACTGCTACCAACTGGTTCCAACTCTGTGAGGTTCCAACCAGTAATTGTTATCATCGGTTCAAAGAGATGCTTGTCATTTATAAGATGGATCTGGTGGTTAGGCTTGCTGACTTGGTTTATTACAATCCTCATGACGTAAACCACTGGGTAGAATATAGCTAGAATATTGCTGACTACAGTGTTACACAACATTCACATGATTAATTAAGTTTAGCGACTACAGGTACATCTACTTATAACATTCCCTCTGTTTTCTTTGTTACCCTTTTTCAGAAAATCCAATTTCAATCAGTCCAAAACATTATACAACTTTAAGGTACAAATAGAACGTGGATGTCTATAAAAAAACAATTGTTATTCACATAAAAAATCACTCTCTACTAGGGGCCAAATGTACATTTTTCCTGACTTACTGTTTAATGTTTTTTTGTAAATCAGCAAAAAGCGAAAGTGAGAGAGATTAGCGGATTTGACTTTGAACAGTATTCCAGTTATATCACAGCAGTTTTGCAGCACAAAGCGAGAGAGGTAGTAGTATGATGCCACAGCTGACTTTAGACATGGCTGCAACACCTGCTGCACACCGATCAATAGAGACCCATAGACTGTCTGCACCAAGCTGACTGCACTGACTGATGACACAGCATTCGTCTGCCCGGTGTCTCCGTTTCAGAAAGCTCTTGTGATGTCATCTACTACTTCAGGTTTCTGAATTTCATGTCATTACCTCTAGCGATCCTCAGACGGCTAGATTCAAATATATACTACTCAAAAAAAGTAAAGAACCACCCAATTTCATGCCACAACAGATTAACTATGGCAATATGAAAGAATTGGGAGGTCCTTCACTTCTTTTGAGTTGCATATATGACAACATGAAGGCCAGTTTTTATAAAAACCTTTGTAACAAATATGTGGTTACAAATTTTATAACAATGTGTTTCTTCTCAAGGTAGCTTGAACACCAAGTTTAATGACCTGTCATACCTGTCTCAGCTTGCAAACATTGCCCTAATTTCCAACCCAAATATCGCATTTCAATTTGTCACTCAAATAACTGTAACATTCCATAATACTTCAACAAATAATGTGATTGTGGACCTCTTGAACTGAAATAAAACCTACATTACATCCTCAATCACATCTTACACCTATTCCTTCAATAGTTTAAACTTATTCAACAATTTCTTTCAATCTGGTGTCCCAACAAGATTAATCTGTCAATCAGTCAGCATTTCATGGTGGAATATCATGATGAATATATGTCAGGCTTTTTGTGTTTCTTGGTGTTTTTTTTGTTTGAAAAATCCTGGCTGGTACTAGTGGTAGGTGAAATAAAAAGAAATCTTCTTACTATTTTACTCGGTTCCTCGGAACATTATGTGAATATGTTGCCATGCAAGCAGTGTTAGTTAAGTTGACACGTCAGTCTACAGATAAACCCTGTTACATACAGTTTTTGAAAATGGAACATGTATATAAGTTTACATTCGACAGAATATTTGTATTTTTTCGTAATTTTAGGATCAGCAGGATGCATTAACCAATTTAAAAAAAAAGTCATATGGGCAAAGAAAAGGCAAGCACCTGCTGGGCTGACCTCATCTCCCGAGGTGATCCAGCTGTGTACACTGGGAGTGATCTCACCACCCACACACTCCACAGGCCACAAGCCTACAGGAGAGCATGCTAATGATTTGAATGTCACCAGTATTAATCCAAATAAATGTTAAACGGATTTTCTTACAAAATAAATACTGCCAAAGGTTATAACAACAAGCAGCATGATTTTATTGACGGATGATATTCTCCAGGAGGGATATATAAACATGTATGTATCAATGTGATAATGATAAATATATACCACAACAATATGACACAGACCTCGAACATGGAATATATCAAATATATCCCTGTATACCAGAAGATACATAGTCGTACATTTTCCATAGGTTTATGAACCTTGCTTTTAGATATTGAAATCAGTAGCGAACCTGTGAAAGATTGAAATCAAATCTTTCCGACACAAGGCAAGATTGAAAAACAAGCCTTTTGCAGATAGGATGCACCATCAGAGGGCAACACATCATTTCTGGGAATCATCACTGAGATATCCAGTAGCCCAGATGAATCAACCAAACAAACCAAATACTATGTTTCAGGCTGTTTTTCTAGGTTGGATCGATTGAGTATGCACAGGTGTCTCAGAAAGCTCTCGTGATGTCATCTACTACTTCAGGTTTCTGAACTTCATATTATAACCTTTTGTGATCCTGACTAGATTCAAATATATACTACTCAAAAGAAGTTAAGGACCATCCGATTTCAAGCTACATGTATAACAGATTAACTTTAGTAATATGAATGAATTTGGTGGTCCTTCATTTCTTTTGAGTAGTATATACTATGACAACCATTACCTTTGTAATGAATATGTGGTAATCTATGGGTTAACGCCAGCTTCAGAAATATTTTAGCAATATCACAGTGGGAAACTCCAGAATTGGGCTTTACACATTGTACCCATGTGGTGAATCGAACTCGGGCCTTTGGCTTGATGAACAAATGCTTTAACCACTTGGCTACCCTACCACCCTGTCTTTCTATGAACTACAAGTTAGTAGGTGACTGAATGATCCTTGTATTCCAAAGCAGATATATTACAGCTTTTATACAACCCAAAACAAGTGAGGAACCCCCACAATTTGAAGGCTGTGTGTTGCAATACCCACCGGCCATGACAGATTAACTATAGTCATAGGAACAAATCAGGTGTTCTTTAACTTCTTTTGAGTAGTATATATTTTTCAAGCTGGAGCTAAAACACATTCAACCAGGACAAACTCTGGATAAATTATAAAAGTGAGCATCACTGCACTCCTCACTGTCTTGTCACAGCTGGTCCATCCTTGGTTATCTGGGTCGTATATCTCCCTTCTATTAGTATAAAAACCCTGGACTTACTCACCCCCACAGGAAGTGGCATCGCCATCTCCATAAGAGTCTCCCCTCAAGAGCTACGCACAATTTTCTGTTGCTCGTGAGAGTAATTTGTTTGGAAGTGTAATTCATCATGGATTCCAAACCCAGTTCCATTGGGAATTTCTGACAGTTATTATTTTCTTAACTATAGATTGTATTTTATCATCACACTCCCTACAGTAATGCCTATTCCTCTATATTCTGGTGGCACGGGTGGCCCAGTCGTCTAAGGTGCCGCGATTCGCTGTGCAGAGTTACATCCCTTGGGCACGCCAAAAACCTATGATTGTGGGTTCGAATCCTGGTTCGCCCCGATTATTTTTCTAGGTTTGTCAGCACCATACCCATGCACATGAGTTTCACCGAAGTGGTAAACGTCTGACACCTGCATCACTTCAGGCCACATTAAGCCGGCACACAGTGATATAACAGGAATACTGCTAAAAGTGGCGTTAAACCCAACTCACTCACTCACTCCTCTGTATTCTAGTTATCAGTGCAATCCAAGTCAACTCCACAAAACTATATAGTTGTATAACTATAATAAATATAGTTAGGAATTTCTCTATTCCACTTTGATCATTTATACTGGCATTTGCTGCAGACTTGGGGCAATAAAGCCTCAGAGCAGGTCGAGATAAGTCCATGAATAATAAAAACCCTTCAGACCACCAATTCCTTAATTTAGCCAATACTACAACGAGAGTAAAGGGTCCTTGATACGTAATGACAATCACTATTTGTATCCAGTAACAGTCTCGGTGACGTCTATGTGTAACATCTGTGATGCGTATAGACTTACAGCCATCGATACACCAACAAGCCTGAATGACATATGAATCCATCACTGCTTGTGTGAACTGCCTCTTTAGTGGGAATTGATGAGATCAGTTGCTAAGTATATTGATACAGATTGGACTCACAATGATTACTTCAGTTAAACATCTTAGTTATACCATAAAACGAGACATCAAAGCAGAAAATAAATGCCTTGTAATGAATTCTGCTTCACATCATGATTTCATACATCTCATGATACATGGATATTCTCTGTGTCACAATAGGGGCGGTCGGGTAGCCTAGTGGTTAAAGCGTGCGCTCGTCACGCCGAGGACCCGTGATATTGCTGGAATATTGCTAAAAGCGGCGTAAAACCATACTCACTCACTCACTCACTCACTGTGTCACAATATCTCATGAGGCCAACCACTTGATATGGGGAAAGGGGGGTAGGGATGTTGTTGTTTTAATAATGTGTTCCGAAAACTAGAAAAAAAGTCATTTGTTTTCAGAATTTCTCCACCAAATAAATTGTTGTTTGACATGCTCGATCCCCTGTGTTTGTTTGTTTGTTTGTTTAACGCTGCACTCAGCAATATTCAACATATAAGAAGGTGGTCTGTAAATAATCGAGTCTGGACCTGACAATCCAGTGACACCATGACCATTGATCTACGCAGTTGGGATCATTCAAACAAGTGAACAATGCTGACCATCCGATCCCGTTAGTCACCTCTTACAACAAGCATTGGTTGCTGAAGACATATTCTCGACCCGGATCGTCACGGGTCTGGATGCTCTGTGTATACTAACAGCACCCTGAAGATAATTCAATCTGGCTTACTGAAACCAGTGATCGACAGCATGAGTAATGTTTGTCTACTGGGGGCCTTGACACCCAGAAATCCCCTGGTCTTACTCATAAATACATTGGAATACTCACAAATACATACTTCTCAAAAACATTCATTCATAAAAATATACTATTTAAGACTTTCGATTTCTCCCCTACCACTACACATCTCTGTGACTTACCCGTGGCAAATCTCTAATTTGGTTGGAATCAGCATACAATTCCTCTAAAGTCCTCTCAAAGTTGAACACTTCTCCCGGGACATCTGTGAGGCTGCAGTGACGGTAATCCAAGACACGAATATCATCATCTATCGGTGGACGTAGACACGGACACTTCCGCACAAATAATCCGGCCATCGTCTGCCCTGAAAGACAATCATAGTTTCATTACAACAAATTGGTGGGATTGTTGGAGTGACATATTTTAGTTGTGACAAATCATGTTTATACACATGTAGTGAATACCTGAAAACATGGAGTGCATGACTTCAGCATGTGGGTCACAAACTCTGCTTTTATCAGTGAGTGAGTGAGTGAGTGAGTGAGTGAGTTTGGATTTTATGTCACTTTCAACAGTGCATGGAGTGCATGGTGTGGCCAACATCTGTATGTGGGTCATGAACTCTGCTTCTATCAGTGAGTGAATGAGTGAGTGAGTGAGAGTGGTTTTTATGTTACTTTAGACAGAATTTCAGTTACATCATGGGTTGTCAGCATGATGAATGCATAAAGTGATGCAGATATTTGCCATTTACCACTTTGGTAAAACAGACCAGAAAGGGTTATGTCCTGAAACCTAGAAAGATAATCAGAACAAATTGGGATTCAAATCCACATTCATAGGTTCCTGGCATGACTAAGGGAAACAACTGTGCTCAGGGAACAGCAGAGCATTAGATGCCTGGGCTACCCGTGCTTCCCTTCCATCAGTAGCTCGTGAAGTGGGTTAAGTAGCCCAGTGGTCCAGCTAGCAACTGAGGCCCATTTCCTTACACTGTGTGAAGCCAATTCTTGGTGTCCCTACTCCAATTACCAGCGTATTAATGGAAATCCATGCAGCATGGTATCTCAGTGGGCAAGCAGTATAAAATCGGCATCAGTCCAAACTAGTACAAGCAGACACACATAAACATTGCTGAAGATGTGCAATAATCATAGCCCCAGTTCACCTCACCTCAACTAATATTGAGAAAAAGTTATAAAACAGTGACTCTATCACTCACAATACTTCAGTCATGGTCAGGTTCTAAACTGTGGAGGAAAGTATACAGTGATGCATGTCATAGTCGCTTACTCTTTCCGTGAAACTTACAGTGAAATGATACTAATGTTATTTGTTTGTTTGTTTGTTTGTTTGTTTGCACTCAGCAATATGCCAGCTATATGACAGTGGCCTGTAAGTTATCGAGTCCAGACTAGACAATCCAGTGATTGATACTTGGAGCTGCAATCCATGACACGCAATCAAACAAGTCACCAAGCCTCAGACCAACCCGATAGATTGGGTCATCATTCAAATACTAGTATAAATGTCGAAACAGTATGAACACGACTGCAAGGCCAGTAAGACTATTGGCAGACATACTTGGCAAAATAATCAGGGCAGATATACTTGGCAATACTATCGCACATATTAGATCCAAGAAAAGAAAGTGTGGAGACGAAAGAAGACGAATGGAGACGAATCATCACTGTTACGTGTCTACCAATATTTAATAAACTCAACAAATCTGACAAGCCACAAGATAAATTCTCTGACACACACCGTGAAAAAACAACAACTTATCCTCCATTTCATTGATCAAGTTTGCCCAAACTTTGACAGACATGTTTTGTAGCCAAAACAAACTATAAACAAGATGTCACTGACAGTAAAAAATACGCCATTTCAGAATACCCGCCCCAACCCTAAATTCCTGGTGTTACAAATTTATTGACATTTTTATCAATAAATAAGATTCCCTCTCATCACATATCTCAAATGAAATTTAAACAAATATCATGATTCAACAAATATCACAGTCCTGCCAACTCATTTTGAGTGCAATGAACATTTTTTAAGGCCTCACAATTTATTTCCCTCTTAAAACTTCAACTCAGATACAAACATTTTTTTTCTAAAATTGTCAAAAGGAGACCAAAACCCCTTATCAGTGCAACAAAAAGGTCGTGTCAAACACACGAATATACTCTCCTTAAAAACACGAAGCGCTCAATATGAATCATATCTGAAAACAACATGACGGCATGAAGATTTATGAATTTCTCTCCTCCAAGTGCAGCAATTTGTCAAACATGTCATTTTTTCACCATACAGAAATCAATAGCAGCTATAGGAATGTCCAAAGCTTAGAGGGAAACTGCATGTGCAGGTGCATGTCGTCATTGCCAGCACATCTGTCTTGGAGGAAATGATAGTGCCATGCTGAGAGCATTGCCAACATTCATCATGAAGTATATGCATAAACCTGCAGAAAAATGTTGTACTGAGAAAATAATTTGGGTAAACCAGTAATGAGATTTGTAGACGTTATATTGCAAACACACATTCAGTTGTCACAGAAAATAGAATTACATAGTAGTTACAATATACAGGAGTTCAAAACAGTACTATTAACTTGCACAACTTGTCATGGATAGATGCCAGGGAAGAGGACTTCTGTTGAAAATCTGAAGATTTTGTAATGTGATGACAGCCAAAATATAGGATTTATGGCTGTGATGTAAAAGAAGTTTTGAAATCGTAAGAATTAGGAAATTCAGAGCATTTACAATACACACCAGCTTAAAATAGCACTAATAACCATTGTCAAAAAGAAAATAATTTTAAAAATGCTTACAGCAAAATGAACATCATACCTACACGTTTACTCGGCTGAATCTGTCGCCATGCCAACTTTCTCCCCATCCTTACCGCGTAACACTTTCTCCACTTTCACAACGCTTTAAGTAGCCTTAACCACTCTTTCCGTACTAAACCTCACAGCATATAATGGTTACAAATCTTGCCATTTCAATAACATTCTTACCCATGACAATAACGTCAGGCCCTTACAGACCCAGGCAAGCCACTTGAAGCATGAGGTGAAAAGGTGAAGTAAAGATTTGATAGTGTTCAGTAGCTTTCTGTTTTGTTTATCCTCTACTGAGACCACTGTCTGTGACTCTAATCCCTCAATAGATGCTGAATAACGTTGATACGAGAGACGTGTGTGTCACCACGATACTATGTCAAACAGGGATTTGGATGTGTTAGAAGGGCAATTAGTTACATACCAATATGAGGCATTTTGTTTTTCTGGTCAATATTTATCCAGTTTATTGAGTTTGTTATGGGTACAGGGACTTAATTAGTTTTATTATAGGGCTGATTTATTGCACGACATGGTCATAAATTATCAAGATTCTAATTAAAATGGATAAGTTCAAGAAACAATGTTGTGAAACACATCTTTCACATGAAATAATATGCAGAAATGCTGTCACAAAGTGACTTTTAAGCATATCAACAACTATCAGTCATAGAATTTAACCTTCAACATATACTACCTCACCGACATTGCCAACACCATACAAGACTACATGCCTCAATACAACGATAAGATGTTTGGGTGAAGAAAATCACCTTAGTGAATTATCGTGTTTGTTTAGTTAAACTAACAATGTTTAATCTCATTTCGCACCAGTTATCCCCTTGCTCTGGAGAGAGCTTAACAGTATTTTGGTCTACTTCCCAGTAGGCGTGTTTTACTATAGGCTTCTTAGGCTTTGGCCTGTGAACAGAGTTGATCGTGATAAGCAATATATTTTGTTGTGGTACAACAGGCGTTTTGATACGAAGGTCTAATAGAGAACTATTATAGGACTATAGCAATATATGTTATTGTGGTGCAACAGGCGTTTTGATACATATATTATATTATTATTATTATTATATTATATTGATATTATATGACTGAAGGAAAACATTTTCTTGAAAACTACACATATGTTGAATAGGTTGCAGTACGATACATGAAAACTTGACACCATATAAGGAGTCATATTCAACCATCAGTGGGAATGACTAGAAACCTCAATGAAACAAACAATGGCTTCCGGACCCTTGCACATACTATGAGAAAATAGCATTTTACATTTATCGTCATGGCTGTACAGACCTGAATATACAAACATTCACAACATACTTCCGTGTGTTCCATCAGAAACATGCGCGGCCAACATGGTGGAGATCAACCTCTGATCGGTTGGTTTATGCCGCACTCAGCAATATTCCAGCTGTATGATGGCAGTCTGTTAATAATCGAGTCTGTTCCAGACAATCCAGTGATTAATATCATGAGCGTCGATCCATGCAATTGGGATCGATGACATGCATCAACCAAGTCAACCAGCGTTACCACCGGATCCCGTTAGTCGCCTCTTACGACAAGCATAGTCGCCCTTTACGGCAAGCATGGGTTGCTGAAGACCTATTCTACCCCGGATCTTCACAGGTCCAAAACAATCCCTGAATAATACTTCCCTGAAATGTCACCGCCCACACAATGACCAATGCTACACCATGTGAGCTGTTAGTACAAGAGTCAGTGAGTGAGTGAATATGGTTTGTACTGTAGTCAACAATACTTCATGGCAGCCTGTAAAAAATCAAGTCTGGGCCAGGCAAATCGAAGTATACACAATTTCAGAGCAAGATCACATGTAATCAGCAACCATTTCATAATGGGAATCATTCTGTTCCTATATCTCAAAGTGCAGTTATAAAAAAAAAACATGGCAGTTCCGACCTGTAAAAATTAACTTGGCCATAACGTAAACATTTTCGTCACAAAAAATTTGTTAAATTCTCATTAAAGTGAAACATCCCATACAATATAATCATTTGGTTTCCGTCGGGAAATATTCAAGCCATGAAACAGCAAATAAATTAGATATCTCTATAAAATATGTTACAATGACTTCCATGAACAAAGCAACTCAACGGAATTCTCATGACTAACACATGGCAATAAAGAAGAGAAAATTTAGTTTTCACAAACTTAACTTCATCTAAGCCCCACAAATTCAATTCTAAATCCATTCAGCTTCAATGGTCCTAACAATAAAATCAAATTTATTCCCAACCTCTCTTTCCGCACAAAGTCCACTGTCAGTGAACACAGACTGGGAACACATTGCCCTCATTCAAACACACGTTCACAGAGTACAAAATCAAATTAGTAAATAATATTTATCTAACTTCAATAACCTGATCATTTCGTGATCATGAGCACCTTTTATGTCAGTTCCAACAAAGCTCTATTCAAAAATACCTAACACTCCTGATAATTGAAACGGAAAGGCCACTAAGATAGTAATGTTA